GGTTGCTTCGTATTCGCCATTATACTGACTCACTATCAATTGTGAGTCAAAACAGGCGTCTGTTCTTCTTGCCCCAGCCGCCTTGCACATGCGGATACCGGCCAGTAGAGCCTCATATTCTGCCTCGTTGTTCGAGGCTTGGAAGTTAAAACGTAGAGCATACTCATACCTGTCGCCTTCTGGCGACAAACATATGACGCCTGCTCAACAACCATTTGAGGTGGAGCTCCCGTCCACATAGACCTTCCAGACTTGGTCTGGAATTTGAGAATCAAAGGGCCGAGTCATTTCTACAATAAAATCAGCAAATGCTTGCCCCTTTACTGCTTGGCTCGAATGTGATTTCAAGGCTCTGAATCTCTATCGCCCATTTGATCATCCGGCCTGACGACTCCATGGTTGTCAGTGGCTGCTTGATTGGCTGATCTGTGTATACGACGACTGAATGTGCCAAGAAATAAGGCTTCAATTTTCTAACGGCCATGAAGAGAGCAAGACCAAATTTTTCCACTAGGGGGTACCTCAACTCGGCATTTTCAGTACATGGCTGACAAAATAGACCGGGAGCTGGCAGCCGTCTCTTTCAGCAAGGAGGACGGCACTTAGAGCATGGTCAGATACTACAAGATACATGTAGAGCACTTCTTTGGGCAAAGGACTGAAAAGCCTTGGTAAAGAATGTAGATGGACTTTCAGCTTTTGGAAGGCCGCTTCAGCATCCGGCCCCCATTCAAACCTTGCTTTCTTCTTTATTGCTTGAAAAAAGTAAAGGCACTTGTCGCCTGACCGGCTGAGAAATAATCCCAGGGCCGCCAGACAACCTATTAACTTCTAAACCTCTCGGACTGTGCGAGGCGACTGCATGTCAATGACTGCCTGCACTTTCTCAGGGTTCGCCTCTATACCTCTTTGATTTATGAGAAATCCGAGGAACTTCCTAGACTCAACTCCAAACACACATTTCTTTGGATTGAGAATGACATGGTGCCGCCTGAGTGTGGTGAATGTTTCTCGAAGGTCCGCCAGATGATCCGTCTGAATTTTGGACTTAACAATCATATCATCTATGTATGCCTCGACATTCCTTCCAATTTGGTCAAAGAAGACTGTATTTATCATTCTTTGAAAGGTAGCCGGGGCGTTCTTCAAACCAAACGGCATGACCGTGTAACAATACAACCCTTGATCAGTGACGAAGGCCGTCTTCTCCTGATCTTTCTTCCACAAAGGAATCTGATGGAAGCCAGAGTAGGCGTCCATGAAGCTCAATAAAGCATGGCCGGCTGTTGAGTCGACCAGACTGTCAATTTTAGGCAAAGGATAACTATCTTTGGGGCACGCCTTGTTCAAATCTGTGTAGTCTACACACATTTGCCAAGTACCATTCGGCTTCTTTACTAATACCACATTTGCAACCCAGTCAGGGAAGTAACATTGCCGAATGAACCCTGCATCAAGCAGCTTTTTAACCTCGGCAGCAGTCGCCTGACTTCTTTCTTCACCATGGTTTCGCTTCTTTTGCTTGACCGGCTTCTTTTTCGGATCCACAGCCAATTTATGTACAGCCAGGTCAGGACTGATGCCTGACATTTCATGAACTTTGAATGCAAAGATATTTTTGAATTCCTTCAAAAGTTGGTGAAAATCTTCACCCAAAACTTTAAGAGCAGTCGTCCCAACCTTGACTGTTCGGTCAGGACGTGAGTCGTCTAGGACAACATCTGTGTGCTCGCCAGCTGGCTGAGGGCGAAATTCGTCCGACCGCTCCTCTGCCAGTGATTGCTGTCTTTTTTCTTTCCTCTCGGCCCCCGCTTAGGTAGCCTTTCTTTTCTTGTCGCCTGCCACTAGGGAAGGCGCATCCTCCATGATAAGTTCAAAGTTAGTTTTTTCACCACTTGGGCCAGTAGTCGCCACAGTGGGTTTGATATCCAAGAGGTAACACTCTCATGCCATATTTTGATCTCCCCTTAGGGAGCCGACTGTTCCATCATCCCTCTCAAATTTGAGCAGCATAAGAAAGGGGATAATGACAGCTTTAGAATTATTCAGGGTGGGTCGTCCCAAGATCATGTTGTAGGCCGAGAGTTCCTTAACCACTAAGAACCGTACCACCATGTGACGGCCCTCCCCTTTCTCACCCAGGCGGATGGGCAGATCCACTCGTCCCACCGGGTGTACAACACTTCCTCCAAACCCCACTAAAGGATGGGATACCGGATGTATACAATCAGTTTTGTACTTGAGCTTTGCCAAGCACTTGTTGCTGATGAAATCAGAAGAGCTACCAGTATCTATGAGGATCCGGCCAACTCTCTGGTTGGCCACCTTACATTCAATGACAATGGGGTCATCATGCGGCCCCTTAACACCTCCTAGATCTTCTTCTGTGATGACAATTTCTGGGAATGAACTCTTGGCGGTCTGTCCTTGGTGAACGGAATTAACATCTAGCCGTCTAATATTGTCTTTGTTGCCCCTAATAGTGGGGCCGCCTCCTGAGAAGCCGCCGGCTATAGTGTAGACGACTGCGTCATCAGTATCAGAACTGTCGGCCGGCCGTTGATTCTTCCTGGCCGGTTGCTTGTTCTTTGGGGGAGCATTCCCCTTAGACTTCTTGACATAGGAGTCAAGGTCGCCTTTTTCAGCTAGGCGGTCCAGGTAGCGCATGAGGCTAATACATTCATTGGTTTCATGACCAATATCTTCATGAAAATGACAGAATTTATCCTGGTTCCGATTGCTTGCAGAACCCTTCATGGGGGTCGGCTTCTCAATTGAGATCCGGCTCTTGATTTCTTTGAGGATAGCTTGGCTATCCTTGTTGAACGCATACTTGGAAGAGTATGGTTTGAATTCTTTCTTCTTTTTTTGGGCAGGCTGTGCAGAGGAGTCGGCCGCCCAGACTTCTTTTCTCTTTTTCTCATCTTTATATTGCCGACTGCTTTGGTCGACTTTCTTTTTTATCAGACCTCCTTTCGTCCGACTGTTTTCCAGTGTTACAGAGATCAGTCGCCTGTATATAGGCTTCAGCTTCAATCAATGCTTCTTGGAGAATCGCAACCCTCTTTCGGACCAAGTCGAACTTGAAGGTCGACCCATCCTTAAGACCTCTGAAAAAATCAGTGTAGGCTACCTCATCAGGCAGTCCTTGTATTTAAATCCTCATCAGGTTAAACCGCCTCACGTAAGAATGGAGTCCCTCCTTCTCTCCCTGCTGAATGGTCCCTAAGTCAAGGGTCGTCTTCTTAGCAGGGATATTCATAGAAAAATTGGAGGTGAACAAGTAGGCAAGTGTCCTGAAATTATTAACACAACCAGTCAGCAGGTTACCGAACCATTGTTGTGCGATTCCCTTGAGAGTCGCTGGGAAACACTTGCACCAAGTAGGATCATCCAACCCTTGGAGGTACATTAGGTTGGTGAACGTCATTAGGTGATCTTCTGGGTTAGTAGTGCCATCATAGGCGCCTACTAACACATTCTTCACTTTGGCCGGCTGGGCGGCCTTAGTAATTTCCTTAGAGAAGGCGGACGGCTGTTCTCCAAGTCTGAGCAACCGTAGTTGCCAGTCCAATGGTTGGAAGTTTTTTGCCGCCTGCCCTCCAAACAAAGTAGGCTGCAAAAAGTATTGTTGTTGCGGTACGTATGGTATGTTTGGTACCGATTGATCTTTATGAAATCCAGACCGACAGGAGGTACCGCCTGTTAATTTGATTGAGTATACCTCATAGAGGTATTATGCATACTATCTTGAAAATCTGAAGTAGAGGCTGACTCTAACAGTCGGTCATTCTTCTTCTGCTCTAACAACAGTCGAGCATCTGAGTAAGTTTTCTTTGACCCATCCGCTTGAACATGACGAATGGGCTTTCTCTTTCCTGGTGAGGGAAAGCGGTACTTTGTTAAGTCAATCACAGGCGGCTCCCACTTCCTAGAATTAGGGTGAGGAGTCGCCTCTCGACCCTATACAGGTTTCCTTCTTCCAGACTGAGAAGGTTTTCTTGCCGACTGCTCCCTGGAGAGAGCAGGCGTCTTCTTATTAATCAATTCTTGGATCTCTCCCTTGAACCCTCTCATGAAAGTCATGAGTTTGTTCCTTGTAATGGGAGCGGATCCTTTAGCCGCCTGTTGTTGCTCTGGCGGTGGGCCGGCTGGATTGCTTGGTCCAGCTTGGGAATCTACCCGTTCTTTCCTTTCGGTGTGACGGGTGCTTCGGGCCCTTAGGGTCCCATCTGAGGTCGTGTGTATTTCAACCTCGACCTCATTTTCAGTATCTTGATTACAATAGACCTGAGGGTCGTCCATAGGACGCCTCTCGCTCTGGTTTGGTACAGAATGTGATGCCATCTCGAAAGTACTCTCCCCACAGATGGCGCCAAAATGTTTTGGGGTTTTTTGATGTCCTGCGGGAGAGTTACAATTCCGGGACTGGTATCTGTGCGCCAGAACCCGCAAAACAACGGAGACTCCTTGTGGTGGGAGTTCCGCCTCCGAAGGTCAAGTTAGTACTTGTTTGTGGAGTAATAAATGCGGAAAAGTAAAGGTTGGGAGATCTGGCTCCTCTAGGGGAGGAGTGATCAGCGTGTTTAGGTTCTTTAGATGAGGGTAATTAATTGCCGAATCCCCCTTAATGAGGATTAATTAGACTATTTATAACCTTGGGAAACGTGTCAAATACTAGGTTTAGGTTAACCTAGGGCTGACTAGGCTTCCCTTGGAAATTAGGCCTAGGTGGCCTGTTTGACATACGGAGGCCACATGGCGTGACTCAACTGGTCCATGGTGGACGGATCAATGCCGGACACGTGGCAGACTTCTATTGGCCCATGTGGCGGACACATGGCAGGGCCTAACTGGTCCACTTGTCAGATGATGATTGGTAGGGAAAAATCCCCTAATCAAGCAGTATCTAATCTGAGTTTCTTTTTTGGAGGTGCCCGCAGCCACGGTCAATACTAATACACCATCTTCTCCACTTCCCCTTTTGCTCGCTCCTTAAACTAGCATTCTTTCTCTGTGTGTTCTAGCCTACCACAGAAAAAGCAGAACTCAGCAAGCCTCTCATACTTAATATCCACCCAACGAGACTTATTTTGCCCCGTAGCTAGAAATAGTCCTCTACGCAAAGGCTTATTAATATCTACTAGAACTTTAATATGCATACAATCATTCCACCCTAGAGGATCAGAATCATCTACTTCTATAACCCCCCCCCCCCAAAACTCCCCCACATCATACATTACTTCCAGGGATCGTTTGTTAAGAGGCACGTCTAATAATCTAACCCACATGGGAGTCTGCTTGAAGACGATTTCAGACGCTTGTTCATCACCAATTACCTCTTGCAACAGAAGTAATTTCTCATCAAAAAACCATGTATACCTTCAAGGACCCGATCCTTATCATCCTCACAAAAGAATTGAAAAACGAATAAATTCGTCTCAACAACCCTAATTGCGAATTTCTCTTTCAACCTCCATACATTCGCCAACGTTCTCTTCATTGCTTCAAGATTGTAGGGTTTAACTGTCCCTAATTTTCCCACGAGAGTGAGATTTATTTTGGCTTTAGTATCGTCACTAACAATTTCTATGCAATCACCCCCTAGCACCACACCTTCTTCATCAGTTAACCGCAATTTTTCCCAATCCTTCACCAAGTCATCCCCCATTATTCACACTACACCAAAATTCAGGGATTTGATCAATGCAAGATTGAAAATTTATCACAATTGGCACAAAAATGGAGATGCTTACACACAAACCCTAAACGGGACTTAATTACTGATTAGGGGATTTTTCCCCACCAATCACCATCTGACAAGTGGACCAATCAGGTTCCTCCATGTGTCCGTCACATGGGCCAATAGGAGCCTGCCACGTGTCAAGCAATGATCCGTCCACTATGGACCAATTACGACACGACACGTGTCCTTCCCATGACACCTGGGATAACCGGTCACCTAGGCCCAACTCCCGAGGGAAGCCCAATCAGCCCAAGGTTAACCTAAACCTAGATTGACACGTTTCCCGAGGTTATAAATACCTCCCTTAATCCTCATTAAGGGAAAACAACACGCTAAAACGCAGATTACACACATTAAACACTCTCACCTAGAGAGACCCAATCACTTTAATTTCCGCATTAATTACTCCTTAATCAAGTACTAACTTGACCGTCGGAGGCGGATCTCCAATCATCCGGAGCATCCGTTTGTTTTGCAGGTACAGGCGTCCGGTTCCAGTCTCGGAATTGTAACTCTCCCGCAGGACATCAGAAAACCCCAAAACATTTGGCGCCGTCTGTGGGGAGAGTACTTCTGAGATGGCATCCACGTCTGTACCGACTCCTGAAGAGAGGCGTACCCTAGACGACCCTCAAGTTCAGTCGGACCACGATACTGAGAATGAATTTGAAGTTGAAGCTCACACAGCTTCAGACGGGACCCTAAGGGCCCGACGTACCCGTCATACCGAAAGGAGGGAACGGGAACATCTTCAAACTGGAAGTGAGCCAGCAGGCGCACCGCCTGTTCGGCAGCAGCCGACTGATGGGTCTGCTCCCATCACAAGGAACGAACTCATGACCTTCATGAGGGACTTCAAGGGAGAAATTCAAGAGTTGATCAACAAGAAGCCGCTTGCTCTGGACAAGGAGCAGTCGGCTAAGAAACCCTCCACTTCACTGAAGAGGAAACCAGTTCAAGGGCGAGAGGCGACCCCTCATCCTAAATCTAGGAAGTGGGAGCCACCTGCCCTTGATTTCACAAAATACCGTTTTCCCACTCCAGGAAATAGGAAACTTGTTCGTCATATTCAGGCGGACGGGTCGAGGAAAACATACACAGACGCTCGGCTACTGCTAGAGCAGAAGAAGAGTAGTCGATTGTCAGAGTCGGCCTCTACTTCAAACTTCCAAGACAGTCTGCGAAATACCTCGATGAGGCATACTCAGTCGTATCATGAGAGTCAGTCAGGTGGCACCTCCCGTCAGTCCGGCTTTCATAGCGACCAGGCGGTACCAAACTTACCTTTTGTACCGCAACAACAATATTTTTTACAGCCACCTCCGTTTGGTGGACATGCAGCAAGAAATGTCCAACCTATGGACTGGCAGCTACGGTTGCTTAGACTTGGTGAACAGCCGTCGGCCTTCTCCAAGGAAATTACTGAAGTCGCTCAGCCGGCTAAAGTGAAAAATGTATTATTAGGCGCCTATGACGGCACTACTAACCCAGAAGACCATCTTATGGCATTCACCAACCTGATGTACCTTCAAGGGTTGGATGATCCCACTTGGTGCAAGTGTTTCCCAGTGACTCTCAAAGGAATCACACAACAATGGTTCGGCAACCTACCGACTGGTTGTGTAAATAACTTCAAGACGCTTGCTTACTTATTCACCTCAAACTTCGCCATGAACATCCCTGCGAAGAAGACGACCCTTGATTTAGGAACAATTCAGCAGGGCGAGAAGGAGGGGCTTCGTTCTTACATCAGGCGGTTTAACCTGATGAGAATACAGATTCAAGGGTTACCGGATGAAGTAGCCTATACTGACTTTTTCAGAGGTCTCAAAGACGGGTCGACCTTCAAATTTGATTTGGTCCGAAAGAGGGTGGCGACTCTTCAAGAGGCTTTGATTGAAGCGGAAGCCTATATACAGGCGACTGATCTTTGTAGTACGGTAAAACAGTCAGACGGGAAAAGGTCCGACAAAAGAGAAGGACGACAGAAACAGTCGTCAAACAAAGACGAGAAGAGAAAAGAGGTCTGGGCGGCTGATTCCTCTAAACAGCCGGCCCAAAAGAAGAAAAAAGAATTCAAACCATACTCCCCAAAGTATGCGTTTAACAAGGATAGCCAATTTATCCTAAAGGAAATCAAGGGACGGATCTCAATTGAGAAGCCGGTCCCCATGAAGGGTTCTGCAAACAGTCGGAACCAAGAAAAATTCTGTGATTATCATGAAGATGTTGGTCATCACACCAATGAATGCATCAGTCTCATGCGGTATCTGGACCGCCTGGCTGAGCAAGGTGATCTTGACACTTATGTCAAGAAATCTACGAGGAAAGCTTCCTCAAATAAGCAGTCGACCAAAGAGAATCAAGGGGCCGACAGCTCCGATACAGATGATGCAGTCGTCTACACCATTGCAGGCGGCTTCTCAGGAGGCGGCCCCACTATTAGGGGCAACAAAGACAATATCAGACGGTTAGATGTAAATTCCGTTCACCAAGAACGACCCTCCAAATATTCATTTCCTTAGATTGTCATCACTGAAGAAGATCTAGGAGGGGTAAGAGGGCCGCATGACGACCCTATCGTTATTGAATGTAAAGTGGCCAACCAGAGAGTTGGCCGAATCCTCATAGATACCGGAAGCTCCTCAGATCTCATCAGTAGAAAATGTCTGTCGAAACTAAAATATCAGACTGATTGCATACATCCGGCATCCCACCCTTTAGTAGGGTTTGGAGGAGGATTCGTCCACCCAGTGGGACGAGTGGATTTACCCATCCGCCTGGGCGAAAAAGGGGAAGGACGACACATGGTAGTCCGGTTCCTGGTAGTAAAAGTACTCTCGGCCTACAACATGATTCTGGGACGACCAACCCTTAATAATTCCAAGGCTGTTATAATCCCATCTCTTATGTTGCTCAAGTTTGAGAGGGATAATGGAACAGTCGGGTCCCTAAGGGGAGATCAGAGGATGGCCCGAGAGTGCTATCTCTCGGATGTCAAGCCCACTCTTATGGCCACTGGGTCGAGTGGTGGAAAAATAGACCTTGACAATGTCAAGGAGAGTGCGCCTGTTCAAGAAGCAGGCGGCAAGAAGAGAAAGGCATCCCAAACAGGGGCCGCAAGAAAAGACAAAAAATAGCAATCATTGGCAGAGGAGCGGTCGGATGAATTCCGCCCTCAGCCGGCTGGTGAGCATACGGACTTGATATTAGACGATTCACGTCCTGAGCGAACAGTCAAAGTTGGGACGACTGCTCTGAGAGTCCTAGGTGACGACTTTCACTCACTATTGAAAGAATACAAGGACATCTTTACATTCGAAGTCCATGAAATGCCAGGCATTAGTCCTGATCTGGCGGTACATAAACTGGCCGTGGATCCGAAAAAGAAGCCGGTACGGCAGAAGAAGCGGAACCATGGCGAAGAAAGAAGTCAGGCGGCAGCCGCCGAAGTTAAAAAATTACTTGATGCAGGGTTCATTCGGCAATGTTACTTCCCAGACTGGGTTGCAAATGTGGTGCTTGTTGAAAAGCCGAATGGCACCTGGCGAATGTGTGTAGACTACACAGACTTAAACAAGGCGTGCCTCAAAGACAGTTACCCTCTGCCTAAAATTGATAACCTGGTCGACTCAACAGCCGGCCATGCTTTGATGAGCTTTATGGACGCCTACTCTGGTTTCCATCAAATTCCTTTATGGAAGAAAGATCAGGAGAAGACGGCCTTCGTCACTGATCAGGGGTTATACTATTACACGGTCATGCCGTTTGGTCTTAAGAATGCCCCGGCCACTTTCCAGCGAATGATAAACACTGTGTTCTTTGATCAAATTGGGAGAAATGTCGAGGCATATATTGATGATATGATTGTCAAGTCAAAACTTCAGAAAGATCATCTGTCGGACCTCCGAGAAACTTTCGCCACACTCAGGCGGCACCATGTCATGCTCAATCCCATGAAATGTGTCTTTGGAGTTGAGTCTGGGAAATTTCTCGGATTCCTTATCAATCAGAGAGGAATAGAGGCGAACCCTGAGAAGGTGCAGGCGGTCATTGACATGCAGTCGCCTCGTACCATCCGAGAGGTTCAGAAGTTAACAGGTTGTCTGGCGGCCTTGGGAAGATTTCTAAGCCGATCAGGCGACAAATGCCTATACTTTTTCCAGGCAATTAAGAAAAAGGCAAGGTTTGAATGGGGGCCGGATGCTGAGGCGACCTTCCAGAAATTGAAAGTTCACTTGCATTCCTTGCCGAGGCTGGTCAGCCCTTTGCCCAAAGAAGTACTCTACATGTACCTGGCCGTCTCTGATCATGCGTTAAGCGCTGTTCTCCTTGCTGAAAGAGACGGCTGTCAGCTCCCGGTCTACTTTGTCAGTCATGTACTGAAAAATGCCGAGTTGAGGTATCCCTTAGTGGAGAAATTTGGTCTTGCACTCTTCATGGCTGTTAAAAAATTGAAGCCCTACTTTTTGGCACATGCAGTCGTCGTGTATACAGACCAACCTATCAAGCGGCCACTGACCATCATGGAGTCGTCAGGCCGAATGATCAAATGGGCCATAGAAATGCAGAGCCTCGAAGTTACTTTCGAGCTTAGAAAAGCAGTGAAGGGGCAAGCCTTTGCTGACTTTATTGTTGAGATGACTCGTCCTCCTGACTCTCAAGTTACAGACCAAGTCTGGAAGGTATATGTGGACGGAAGCTCTACTTCAAATGGTTGTGGAGCAGGCGTCATATGTCAGTCGCCAGAGGGCGACAGGTACGAGTATGCTTTACGCTTCAGTTTTCAGGCCTCAAACAATGAGGCAGAATATGAAGCTTTACTAGCCGGAATCCGCATGTGCAAGGCGGCAGGAGCAAGAAAAATAGACGCCTGTTCCGATTCACAATTGATAGTGAGTCAGTACAATGGCGAATACGAAGCA